CCTAGGCCTAGGCCCCTTCATGACTGGTGGACTTCAACTCCCAGAATTCCTGAGCCAGCCTGGCTCAACTTGGAAACCTCTCCCTTTCCCCTCAGCATGGCTGCCTCAGGAATTCTGGGAGTTGAAGTCCACCAGTCATAAAAGAGCCAAGGTTGCCTACCCCTGGCCTAGACCTGTGGATCCTCAACTCCGAGAATTAAACAAAAAATAAAAAAAAACCCAACACAGTCACAGACCAATGTGAAGTTTGGTTCATTTTTACAGGAGACGGACCTTTCCCAGGAAATGGCAGAAACCAAAGAAAAAATGGCAGAAATTGAGCAAGGTACGTGTCTAGGCAGAGATGCAGAGTGCACCCTTTGATGATGATGATGATGATGATGATGATGATGATGATAATAATAATAATAATAATAATAATAATAATAATAATAAAGTTGGAATGGACCTTGGAGGTCATCTAGTCCAACCCCCTGCTCAGGCAGGAAACCCTATACTAGTGATGGCGAACCTTTTAGAGACTGAGTGCCCAAACTGCAACCCAGAAGCCACTTATGCATCATCGGGTGCCGGGTAGGTGTGGCCCATTGGCTGGGCGTGGCTGCGGTGGTAACGGCAGACTAAAGGGTGGGTGGGACTAAAAAGTTCAATGAATTCCAACTTTGCAAGATCTTTTTTTCCCCCGCGAGAAGTTGAAATTGATGGATTGATTGAACTTTTTTTTTTTTTTGCACACGGCGGTGGAGGCCTAAAGCGAAAAGGTTTTATAAAACCCAGCTGAAGGCCTAGGCCTGCGGCGATGGCGCAGGTGCCCACAGAGAGGGCTCTGTGTGCCGCCACTGGCACCCGTGCCATAGGTTCGCCACCACTGGTCTAGTTTAACAAAAAGATGGATCAGGGGTGACACGATCCAAGGCCTGGAGACTAAAACATACGAAGAACGGCTGCGGGACATGGGCTTGGCTGGTCTAGAGAAAAGAAGAAATAGGGGAGACATGATAGCAACGTTCCAGTACTTGAAGGGGCTCCCCCAAAGAAGATGGGGGTCAATTTATTCTCCAATGCACCAGAGGGCAGGACGAGAAACAAAGGTTGGAAACTGATCAAGGAGAGAAGCAACCTGGAATTAAGGAGAAACTTCCTAACAGTGAGGACAATTAACCGGTGGAACAGCTTGGCCCCCCCGATGAGGGTTGCTAGTTTGGGGGGGCATTGCTCTAACCCCCCCCCCCTTGTCTCGCTCTTCCCACTCCCAGCTTCTCAAGCCCTCTTAGCTGAGTTGTCCACCATGGAGATGGAGTATGCCATCGAGAAGAGCTGCCGAGAGCAGGCGGAAGCCTTTGCCATCCAGGTGAGGAGGGGTCCCCTCCGACCGGGGGCCGGGGAGGACCCCCTCTACGCAACTCTGCCACCCCCTCTTGACTTCCACAGGTGAGCAGGGAGAACAAGAAGCTGCAGCGGATCAGCCTGGCGCTGCTGCCGGGGCTGGCGCTCCACCAGGAAGACCCGGCGGGCTTGAGCGGCGGCGGAGAAGGGGCCGCTCCTGACTCTGCGCTGGATCCGATGGGCAGGTGCCTTCAGCAGGTCAAAGGTGAGCCAGGGGGTCCTCCTCCTCCTCCTCCTCCTCTCTTCTGCCCAGGTGGAAAGGACCCCTCTGGCAGTCCGGAGACCCCTGGAAGGGAGAGTGGATGGGCTGCGGAGGGAGGGGGGGGAAGCGAAGTCTACAGATGTAGAAATAAAAAGTAAAGGTAATCTGAATAATAGCCTTAGGAACACGGCCATTCCTTCGCCATTTCCTTCCTTCCTTCCTTTTTTCTTCCTCCCTTCCTTCTTTCCTCCCTCCCTCCCTCCATTCCTTCCTTCTTGTCTCTCCTTCCTTTCTTCTTCATGCCTTCCTTTCCTCCCTCTTCCTTTCTACCTTTTCTCCTCTCTTCCCTTTTTCTATCCTCCCTTCCTTTCCTTTCCCTTCTCTCCTTCCTTTTTTCTTCCTTCTTTCCTTTCGCCCTCCCTCCCTCCCTCCATTCCTTCCTTCTTGTCTCTCCTTCCTTTCTTCTTCATGCCTTCCTTTCCTCCCTCTTCCTTTCTACCTTCTTTCTCCTCTTCCCTTTTTCTATCTTCCCTTTCATTCCTTCCTTGCTTCTCCTTCCTTCCTTCCTCCCTTCCTTTCCTCTCCCTTTCTACCTTTTCTTTCTTCCCTTTTCTATCCTCCGTCCCTCCTTTCATTCCTTCTTTGTCTCTCCTTCCTTTCTTCTTCCTTCCTTCCTTCCTGCTTCCTTCCTTCCTTTCCTCCCTTCCCCTTTCTACCTTCTCCTTTCTTCCCTTTCTCTATCCTCCCTCCCTCCTTTCATTCCTTCCTTGTCTTTCTTTTCTTCTTCATTCCTTCCTTCCTTCTTCCTTTTCTTCCTTCTTTCCTCTCTCCCTTCCTACCTTTTCTTTCTTTCTCTCCCTCTTTCTTTCTTTCTCTCTCCCTCTCTCTCCCTCCCTTTTTCTTTCCTTCCTTCTTTCTTTCTCTCCCTCTCCCTTCCTTCTTTCCTTCCTTCTTTCTTTCTCTCCCTCCCTCCCTCTCCCTCTTTCTTTCTTTCTTTTTCTTTTTTCTTTCTTTTTTCTTTTTCTTTCTTTCTCTCTCTCTTTCTTTCTTTTTCTTCTTTTCTTTCCCTTTCCTTTTCTTTCTTCCAGAGCTTGATGTGGTGTTTTTCTTAGCTCCGTGTCAGTCCAGCCCCTTGCAATCCACACCATGCCCTCCCCATTTTTTTTTTTTTTAAAAAGCTGCTTTATTCTTCCAAACGAGAAGAGGAGGTCCTTGGAAATGAGGCCCACCAGCCTAGCATCCTCTTGACCTCCAAGAGGGACCCCCTGAGTGGTTGCCCCCCCCATGCAGGTCCCAGATGCTTCTACAAGATAACAGGGTCTTCCTTTCCTCCAGACCTTCAACTCAAGGTGTCAGGGCTGCTGGAGGAGAAGAAGGAATTGACCACCCAGGTGAAGGACCTCCAGGCTCTTGTGGGAAGGCTCCAGCATCAGGTACGATGGATTAGGGCCTGCAGTGGTGTTTCTCAACCTGGTCTCCTTTAAGATGGGTGGACTTCAGCTCCCAGAATTCCCCAGCCAGCCATGCTGGCTGGGGAATTCTGGGAGTTGAAGTCCACCCATCTTAAAGGAGACCAGGTTGAGAAACCCTGGCCTAGAGGTTTTATTGGGGTGGGGGGAGACAAAGGGCTCCTCAAACAGATTTAACGCAGGCAATTTCCTTCTGGTGAAGGAGGCCTCCTCTTTTTTTTTTTAAAAAAAAGAAAACTTTTATAGTTTCTTAACGTTCTATACATTTTCTGAGCGGAAAACGATGACGAGAATATCGTTTTTCTTTTTTTTCTGGCTTGCTTCCTTCCTTCCTTCCTTTTTTGTTTTTGTTTCGTTTTTTGAACAAAGCTAGAAGAGGAGTGTGCGGAGAAGCAGTCTCTGAAGGTTTTGAAGGAACACAATCAGAAGATGCTGAAGAGGGTCAAGCGAGGTGAGTTTGTCTCCCACTTACACATTCACAGAGACAGGGAAGGAGATGAATCTGTAGAAAGACTGGTCCCTGGGCAAGGTTGGTGTGGGATGGATTTTGTGCCCCTCCCCTCCCGTCCCCCCTTTCCTTTCTTTTCCCTACTCACTTTTCTTTCTTTCCTTTCCTTTCCTTTCCTTTCCTCTCCTCCCTTTCCTTTCCTTTCCCTTCCCTTCCATCTTCCTTTCTTTTCCTTTCCCTACTCACTTTTCTTTCTTTCCTTTCCTTTCCTCCCCTCTCCTCTCCTCCCTTCCCTTCCCTCCCTTTCTCCTTCTCCTTCTTTCTCTCCTTTCCTTTCCTTCTCTCCCTTTCTCCTTCTCCTTCTCTCCTTTCCTTTCCTTCGCTTCCCTCCCTTCCCTTCCCCACTATATTTCTTTCCTTTCCTTTCCTCCCCTTCCCTTCCCTTTCCCATCCTTTCCTTTCCTTTCCCTACTCACTTTTCTTTCTTTTCTTTCCTTTCCTTTTCTTTCCCTTCCCTCCCACCTTCCTTCTCTTATCTTCCTTTCCTTTCCTTTCCTTTCCTTTCCTTTCTTTTCCTTTCCTTTCCTTTCCTTCGCTTCCCTCCCTTCCCTTCCCCACTATATTCCTTTCCTTTCCTTTCCTTTCCTTTCCTTTCCTTTCCTCCCCTTCCCTTCCCTTCCCTTCCCT